CTCCAGCGGCACGAGGAGATGATCATCCCTGGATAACGCCCCCGATCCCCTGGGAGCCCTGGGAATTTCCCTGCAATAATCAATAAACCCCTTCAGCAAAGCAACTCTGAGTATCCATGGGAGCTCGTGTTCATGTGGCTGTTCTGTGTCCCTGGGGGTGTCCCCATGTGTGTCCCCATGTCCCCATGTGTGTGTCCCCATGTGTGTCCCCATGTCCCTGTGTGTGTGTCCCCATGTCCCTGTGTGTGTCCCCATGTGTGTCCCCATGTGTGTCCCCATGTCCCTGTGTGTGTCCCCATGTCCCCGTGTGTGTCCCCATGTCCCCGTGTGTGTCCCCATGTCCCCATGTGTGTCCCCATGTCCCCGTGTGTGTTCCTTGTCCCTCTCTCAACCCTGGCTGTCTCCAGTCCCTGCCCCACCATCAGCCCAGAGACCCCAGGGACACGCAGGGCTCCCTGCCCCCCCTTCATCCTCCTGTGTCCTGGCCAGGGCAGCTTGGGACCCCCTGGAACGTCCCCAGAGCTGGGGGGGATGAGGGGCCCCCAGAGCAGCGTCCGGAGCCGCCGAGCTTTGGGGTGCAGAGGGAAACAGGTTCTGCCCGGGGCTCTGGGAGCCCCAGGGAGCCCAGGCTGGGCTCGGGCCGGGAGCGGATCCCGGCCAGGAGCCTGGAGCCCCGGCTCCTCTGCTCCGCCTGCGAGCGACAGCGCTTCCCTGCCCGAGGATCAGCACTGCTGGGCTCGTGGCTGCCGGCAGGGAGGGGGTTAATGTCCCTTGAAGGATCCCCGGCTGTTCCGATCCCACTCTGGAGGTGCCCGTTCCCCAGTTCAGGGCCAAAGGGGACCATGTGCCAAAGGCGAGAGCGCAGAATTTAGCGAAGGGGAAAATGGGAGCGAGAGCAAGAGAGACGGGCAGGAAGAGAGGGGCAGGGAGGGAGGGAGGGAGATCGGGCAGAAGCTCCACACCGCCCCTGGACCCAGCAGTGTCCGGCTGCTCCTTCTTCCCCCGGAGCTTCTCGGTGCTGGGGGGTGCTGAGCTCATTGCGGACTTTGCCCCGTTTATCCATCTGAGCAAAGCGAGCAATCCGTGCTCGTGGGCTGCCCAGCTCTGGAATGCCATCGGCTGAACGATCCCCTGGCCTCGGCTGCTGATCAGTCCCGGCCCAGGCTGGCTCTTCTCTCCAGCTGGAGCTTCCCGGGCTCGGTGGCCGTGAGCCGGTGGTCACCATCTGCCCCTCTGGGCTTCCCTTGGAGCCCGCCGGAGCTGATTGCAGCACGGCTGCTGGGCTGCATGTCCTTGCCCACCAGCAGGGACGCATTCTGCTCCCCCAGCTTTGTTTACCTCCCCCGAGGTCCGAGATAAGCCCTGGACAATTGTCCCACCTGGATCTTATCTTGGGGTGCTCCATCCTGTGCCTGGCCCATGGCAAAGTCCTCCTGTGGTGACATTGTTTGGGACGGGCTGGGGCTGCTCCTTAATCCCAACAGCAGCGGAGCCTCCCCAGCCCCCAGGAGACCCCCCAGGTGTCCCCCAGGTGTCCCTTAAGTGTCCCAGTGACCCCCTGGTGTCCCCCACGGTGTCCCTTAAGTGTCCCAGTGTCCCCCTGGTGTCCCCCCAGCCCCTGGCACTGCCCGTCCCCGTGTCCCCAGTTCCATTTTCCGGTCCCCTCCTCCCTGTCCCCTCCACATGTGCCACCACCGTGTCCTGGTCACCTTGACCATCTGATCCCTCTTCCCACCACCGTCCCCAGCTCCCCACCACCATCTCCAGGTGACATTGACCATCTCTGTGTCACCTCCACGTTGACCATCTGTCACCATGTCCACGTCCTCTCCATGTCCCCAGCTCCACGTCCAGGTCCCATCTTGTCCCCCTCCCTGCTGTCATCTCCATGTCCCCTCTGCTGTCCCCTCCACCACGGCCTGGTCATCTCCATCTCCTCCCTGTGTCACCCCCACACCCCTGGCACTGTCACCCCCACACCCCTGGCACTGTCACCTCCACACCCCTGGCACTGTCACCTCCTGTCACCCCTGGCAGTGTCACCCCCACAACCCTGGCAGTGTCACCCACACACCCCTGGCAGTGTCACCCCCACAACCCTGGCAGTGTCACCCACACACCCCTGGCACTGTCACCCCCACAACCCTGGCAGTGTCACCCCTGTCACCCCTGGCAGTGTCACCTCCTGTCACCCCTGGCAGTGTCACCCGCACATCCCTGACAGTGTCACCCACACACCCATGGCAGTGTCACCCCCACACCCATGGCAGTGTCACCCCCTGGCAGTGTCACCTCCTGTCACCCCTGGCAGTGTCACCCACAACCCCCTGACAGTGTCACCCCCACACCTGTGGCAGTGTCACCCCCTGGCAGTGTCACCCTCACACCCCTGGCACTGGTGGGGTCTGAACAAGGGGGGACAGCTTGGGGGAATCACCTGATGCCATCTGGTGTCACCCCAAGTGTCCCCCCTGTCCATGGGGCGCCACCCAAATGTCCCCCAACACCCCACCCCCACTCATTTATTGTCAATAACGGGAATTTCCCCTCCCCCATCCCAAACCGCCTCGGGGTGGTTTTTTGGGGGGGTGGGGACCCCCGGGGCAGCCAATCACAGCCCGGGCTCGGGGGTTGGGGCGAGTCGGGCCACGCCCCCCCCAGGTAAAACCCCCCCGACCCCCGATCCGGGCTCAGTCACCTCCAACTCCCGGCTGGTCAGTGGGGCGCCCCTCCCCCACCTGGGGGTCTCGGGAGGGGGAGGGGGGAGGGGCGGCCAAGCCCGACCGGACTTCGGACCCCCCTGAGCTGGGGGGAGGGGGCAGGAGTGGGGACAGGGACCATTTGGGGGGCCCATGGGGGGCGGGACCCACATCTGATCTCCTTCCTGGGCTCCCGGTACCACCCCTGGACCCCAAAAAACCCCAGAATCCCCCCTGCACCCCAAAATCTCCCAAATCCCCCCAGGACCCCAAGATCCCCTCCAGGACCCTCCTGGGACCCCCAACCTCCCCCCAAAATCCCCAAAATCCCCTTCCCAGGACCCCAAAATCTCCTCCAGGACCCTCCTGGGACCCCCAACCTCCCCCCAAAATCCCCTTCCCAGGACCTGGTAACCTCCCAAAGACCCCTACAACCCCTCCTCATGACCCCAAAATCTCCTCCAGGACCCTCCTGGGACCCTCTAAACCCCTA